AACTTAAACACACGCTATAATTCACAACGATTTACACACTTTACTTACGTCTCGACTCGATTATCAGTCTCTATCTTCCTGTCTGCTATTCAATTATCTATCTAACTATCCATGCCGTCACTTCTCGCCGGTCTTATATATACGAAATAGAGGGCGCCTGGTAAACACTCAAGCCTTCACGAACGTTCTAGATACTCATTACGTGTAACCAGCGTCACGTGAATTCCGCTGTCGTAACAATATGTATGCAAAAACTGAGTCAGAGAGATTGTTATTTGTAAGAAATAATCAGAAAAAATTGCGGGTAGAAAATTGCATTCATCTAAGAGATGATGTGAGAGAAGATGGAAATGCTAGAAATGTTGGGAAGATTTTACCTTCAGATATATACATGAACACACATAATATGCCATGTGTTATGTTAGGAAGTATGAACACCCTGACCTGTTTATAACATTTACCTGCAATCCAAATTGGACGGAAATTACAAGAGAACTACTAAGTAACCAGAAATCCCAAAATCATTATGATCTAATTGCACGTGTCTTTAGATTAAATGTCGTGAAATTTATGGAACTTTTAATAAAGCATGGAATCTTTGGTAACACACAATGTGACATGTACACTATTGAATAGCAAAAAAAAGAGGACTTCCACATGCACACGTACTAATTTGGCTTAAAGAAAACATACGACCCAATCAAACTGATATCATTTCTGCAGAGTTACCAAATCCTTATTGAAATCCAATTTTGTTTGAAATTGTGAAAAAGCATATGATTAATTTTCCATGTGGTTCATTAAACATAAATTCCCCATTCATGAAGGAAAGAAAATGTAGCAAAATATTTCCAAAGGCCTTCCTCAAAAAGACACAAACAGACATTAATGGATATCCACTTTATATGAGAATAAAGCCAGGTGATGGAAGACATAGCACTCTTGTGAAGTAAATTGAAATTAATAATAGGTGGATTGTTTCTTATAACCCTTACCTCTCTAGAATTTTCAATGCTCACATCAATGTTGAATCATGCAATTCAGTTAAAAGCATAAAATATGTCTGTAAATATGTCAATAAGGGTTCAGATATGGCTGTCTTTGGTAATGAACAGAATGGTAATGTCAGAGATGAAGTTTCAACATACCAGTTGGGAAGATACATAAGTACAAATGAACAGTTATGCATTTACAAGTCCACTTAGAAAATGGTCAAAGCGTATTCTTTAATAATGAAAATGTATCACAGAGAATTGAAAAGCCACCTAAAACTACACTTATTGCCTTTTCTGAACTATGATCTGCTGATGAATTTACAAAAAACATTATTGTATTCAGAAGTATCATCCTATTTCATATAGAAAAACCAATATAAAAGGTCGAAGAGAAGGACAAAAGGTTCCAATGTGGAAAGCGATCCAGAAATCAAATTTAGTCCTGCATTAGAAGAGTTTATACAGCACATCCAACTAACTTCGAGTGCTTTTGTTTGAGATTGTTATTGCATACAGTTCCTGGTCCTACATCCTTTGAATATTTGAAACGAGTCAATGGTGAATTATGTAACAGTTTCAGAGTTGCTTGTTGGAAGATGATATTCACTGGAATAGTACACTTGAAGAAACAGCTGCCACAAATTCACCAAACATTTTAGAGATTTACTTGCATTGATATTACGAGCATGTGGTATTTCAAACCCTCTTCAACTGCAGGGAAATCATAGAGAAAGTATGTTGAAAGACATTCTATATAAGAATGCACCAAACATAGATCTCCAGTACTCTGAAGTATTTAATGAAGCCTTAATCATTCTTAAAGCCACAGTTTTTTGGTGGAAGATTACTACAAGATTTTAGCCTACCATAACCAGTTAGGACTGAAATAAACAAGATGTGAATTACATCAGGGAAATATCATACAATGTGGATGATCTTTTTAAGTTTGTTAATAAAAATGAAGAAAACTGACAGAAGATCAAGATTTTACTTATAAACATACCCTTAACAATGTTGAAAATGATAAATATGGTCTAATATTCATTGATGTTCCAGGTGGAACAGGGAAAACATTTGTCAGTAACTTGCTTCTTGCAGAACAAATAGTTTTGGCTGTTGCATTATCAGGAATTGCAGCAACATTGATTGAAGGAGGAAGGACAGCTCATTCAGCTTTCAAGCTACCTCTTAATTTATCCCATGTTGAACAGGCTACATGTGGTATAAAGAAAGGAACAGCAAAGGCAAGGGTGTTGAAAGAATGTAAAATGATAATGTGGGATGAATGCATTTGAAGCTTTAGATAGAACACTGACAGATATGGAGGGAAATGATGTGTTATTTGGTGGTGTTACATTATTTACTATCAGGTGATTTTAGACACTCTACCTGTCATTGTAAGAGGTACAAGAGCAGATGAAGTACATGCATGCATAAAAACATCTTATTTTTGGAGGCATACAAACATGCGAGTAATTCTTAAGTGGTGACAGTGAAGCTGGTTAACTTTCAAAACTTCTTCTTAATATTGGTGATGGAAAGATTCCGATCAACCAATCAAACAACTACGTTATTATTCTAGACAAATGTGGTAACTTAGTTAAGGATGCAGAAGAGCTAAAGGAAAAGGTGTTCCCTAATATTTGTCAAAATTATCAACCTATAAATTAATTTAGTGTTCCAGATACAAATTATACTGTAAATTACTCAACTGAATTCCTAAATTCTTTTTTTTAGCATCCAGGGATGCTAGGATACATTCTGAAATTAAAGGTTGATTCACCAATAACTTTGTTGAGAAATCTTGATCCTCCAAAATTATATAATGGCACAAGATTAGTTGTTAAGACTTTACTGCCACATGCTATTGAAGCAACAATTACAAGTGGTCATGCCAAAGGTGAAGATGCCTTCATTCCAAGAATTCCTGTGTTACAAAGTGATTACCTCTTTGAATTTAGAAGGCTCCAATTCACAATTACAATTTGTTTTGCAATGTCAATTAATAAGACACAAAGTCAAAGTTTAAAGGTTGCTGGATCGTTCGTAAAGCAGCCTTGCTTTTCACATGGTCTATTCTATGAAGGATGATCAAGGGTTGGATCTCATCAAAACACGTTTATATTGTCAGAAGAAGGAACAATAGTCAATGTGGTATATCAAGAAGCTATAATATAGATTGCATAATTTTTGTTTTGAAAATCAAAGGTTTAGATAAAAATTAAAACGTTATGAAAATTGAATTTTTTAAATAAATGTTCATAAATGTATTTGTGTTTTTAATCATCTGTTTCAAGTAACTTGGACAGCTGTATATGGAACGGGTAATTCAGCTAGTACTTCAATAAATATAACGTACACAATAATGGAATAAGTGCTTGAATACACAATCGATGAAAATATAGGAGTCACAAACGACGAGTAATAGAAACTAGGTGATCAATTTGTTCATTATACACAACACAAAGGAAAAGTCAATAAGAGACGCTAAAATTCAATCCAACCTGATAGGTGACCACCCCCTATGAAACACTTTCTTATACTTTAAGTTCAAAAATTTTGATAGAGGTAGTAATTTTATGAACCTTTGGAATTAGAAGTAGCTAAAATATTTATTTAAAGACATCGGGAATACCAGAGGTCGTAGTATACGGGAATACCAGAGGTCGTAGTATACGGGAATACCAGAGGCCGTAGTATACGGGAATACCAGAGGTCGTAGTATACGGGAATACCAGAGGCCGTAGTATACGGGAATACCAGAGGTCGTAGTATACGGGAATACCAGAGGTCGTAGTATACGGGAATACCAGAGGCCGTAGTATACGGGAATACCAGAGGTCGTAGTATACGGGAATACCAGAGGTCGTAGTATACGGGAATACCAGAGGCCGTAGTATACTGGAATACCAGAGGCCGTAGTATGTGAGTTCTTTGTTCTAAACAGAGAATTATTTTTTTGTCTTAATGTTTCCATATAGTTTATCAATGTAAGATTCTCGGATATTGTTCGAAATGTCCTGTACTGCTCTCCAATATTCAGCCAAGGTATTTGGTCTCCTTTTGACATTTTCTGTTTTTAAGTAATTTAGTCTCAAATGTTCATGTCGGGATTTTAAGCAGGCCAAACCACGGTAGTGAGTGTTCCATCTGCTTGTCTGTCAAGATATTGTTTCACTACGATTGTTGTATGCTTGGGATTATTGTCTTGATTGTTGTATGCTTGGGATTATTGTCTTACTAGAAAACGAATCCCTACCTGAAGAGTCATGTTCCTGAAAAAAAAAATGTCTCGATGGATTAGAATCTACCTGTACTTGTCAGCAACCAGAATTCCCTCATTCTTAAGTGTATAATCAACACTGTTAGTTGTCGTGCAGTCCCAATGTTAGTGTGATCTCCCACAATGCTTCACTATAGATATTGTACGTTAACTATGATACCATTCTCATATCCATCATAGAAGAAACTTCATTGATTGTTACCAAACAATTTAAACTTGGATTCATCTGTAAAGCACACACACGTCTCTACCTTTGCTCATTGTACTGTTTGTAGTCCAATGATCATTTCAATTTTTAAGTTAGGTTACTTCTTCTAAACAGTGGTTTCCTAGCAGTCCACTGAAACTACGTTGTACTAATGTGTCTCTAACTGTTCTCGAGGTAATTTTAATTCCTGTTTTTACAGTTATGTCGCTGGCAAGATTTGTATTCGACCATCATCTATCTCGTAAAGATCATACCCTAGTATACTTAACATCACTTTAGAAGAGTTTCGTTTTCTACCTTGAACATTTCTGTTATTAACAATGGCAGTTTCACCTTCCTTCTTCAGAATCTTACATACATCTCCTACTGAAAAACGGATTCTCCCTTCAATGTTTCTCTTGGAGTATCCCTGATCTACCAAAATTTTGCTTTCTCCAAGTTTGCCATACTATATTTTAGTCGTATTGGAACTATGACTAGAATCACACTACTACTGCTGTTACTGAACATAGTATGACTGCTTGTAATCTTACAGTTTTTACTAATGTGGCACTTTCTGATTGGTTGGCTAAGAACTTATCGCAATATATACTATTCACATTTGACTGTACTCCGGTGCAGCTTATTTTCACACAGTAAAGGAGTGACATTCTGGTAGTATTTGTCTTTTATACCTATTTTTCATACCATTTCCATAATCATTTCTAATACTATATATGCAGGTTTTGTTAAATAAGACCGATGTCTGTAGGTTTACTTTCTTCTTGGAAATCTTCTCAAGAAGTCGATAAGCCGTTTTAACGTTCTTGAGAAGATTTCCAAGAAGAAAGTAAACCTACAGACATCGGTCTTATTCAACAAAATCTGCCTACAAGAAAATCTGTCACCAAAGTACACTAATAATATATATCTAAACCTAATTGCAAATAAGTAAGAAAGACTCCCTGTGTTAATATAATTATTACTATATATATATGTGTGTATGTGTGTGCTATTTATTTATCAAGAAATGAGACTAATAAAAAATAATTGAGCCATTAAGGAACAGCTTTAAATATACCTTCTGGATTGTGTTCTTGTTCACTGGCTGCTGGACATTCAAAT